TATATGCATATGTGTGTGTACATATATATATATATACATATACATATATATAATTTTTTTAAAAGGCCTGAAGACTTAAGTGACACTGACTCTCAGTAACACATGGTGTGTTTAGAAATATCATGAACAAGTGTCTTATATCTGGTGATCAGTGTGTCTCCATTCTCAGAGAACACTGTCTATGGAAAGTGTCCATGATGCTAAGAATCCTGGGAGTTTGAGCAATAGATGGATACATAAATAGGATACCCCATCCATCCTTATGGTTGACTGCTGTGGATTTTGCTCACTGTTAATAATAAAGCTGATTGGCCAATAGCTGAGCAGTAAGAGATTGAGTAGTGAGAGCCAGACTAGGAGAATTCTGGGAAGAGGAAGGGTGGAGTTGGGGAAGATGCAAGCCAGCCAGCCACCAAGGAAGCAGGACGTGTAGAAAATGACGTAACAAGCTACAAACCATGTGGCAAAGCATAGATAGGAAATACGGGCTAATTTAAATGTAAGAGCTAGCTAGTAATAAGCCTGAGCCATCGGCCAAGCATTTATAATAAATTATTAGGATTTTTATTTTGAGTGATTACTAGGAGGTGCCTGCAGAATGGGGCAGGATGGAGGAACTCCATTTACAGTCGACTTCTCTGTGATTCAGATATTCAGTCACATATGATCTTCCCTCCTTAGGGTTTCTCTGTGTAATAGCCCTAACTGTCCTAGAACTAGCTCTGTAGGCTAGGCTGGCCTCAAACTCACAGAATTCCACCTGCTTCTGCCTTCCAAGTGCTGGGATTAAAGGTGTGGGCCACCACCGCCCAGCTCCTGCTAGACACTTTTAGTTTGGAATTGAATCATGGGGAAATAGTCCTATGGCACACACTCACTGAAGGACAGTCCATCAAACCCTTGGCCTGCACTCTTGAAAACATCAGTGTCTCTGTAACGGCCCCAGACCTTAGTTGTCCCCAGATCTTTGCTTAACTGACTTCACAAAGGAAGTGCCATTCTCACTGTAAGACTGGCATGCAGACAGCACCACCTGCCGAAAATGAAAACAAAGGCCTGATCCATCAAAGCCCACAGTTCTGGGAAAGTCTCTAAATATACTAACCTTGCTTTTTAGCTTCCGTAGCTCTGATTCTGGCTGACTTTTCTTGTTAACTGAAGTATGTCAACCCAGAGCATGGTTTTTGTGCTTAAAAGCTCACCCTGAGAAAGGCTTAGGGCTACACTGGGATCCTGAATACTCATATACTTATATAGTTGCTGTCCAACCAATAAAGACTCTCTATTGGCTTAAGCCCATGTCTGAGCAGTCTCCTCTGGTGAATACCTCACAGTAGTCACAAGGTACAAAATAAGGGATTGTCCCACTCTAGGGTGAAGCACAGTGAGTCATTGTAGTCATGCGCAATGCCTGATTCCTGATCAGATCTGGACAGACATGCTTAAAAGGCTGCCCAGTGTATCTTGAGACTAAGTGGGGAACTTGAGCACCGCTGAACCATTTTGTTTGTTTGTTTGCTTTTAATAGATGTATCTATTTTGTATTTTATATGTATGGGTGTTTTGCCATGTACATGCCTAGTGTCAGCAGAGGCCAGAAGAGGACATTGGAATCCCTAGGACTGGAATTACAGAAAGTTGTGAGCAGCCATGTGGATGCTAGGAATCAAACCCCGGTCTTCTGTAAGAGCAAGCAGTGTTCTTAACTGTTGAGATATCTCTTCAACCCTCTGTCCAAAAATTTTTGAATGGGTTCTCTAGGGACAGAGCTCAGGAGATGCCTGTGGACATATTAGCAGAATTAATTAATTATTAAAAGCAAACCACCAAGCATTAACAATTCTTCCGTGGACTGTTGAGTTCTGTGGGAAGCGTTTGCCTGGAATCGCTGAGGCCCAGTGTTCTGGGGCAGCTGTAAAAACAAACAGACTCAATCTTGATTCTGGGTGAAAGGTGCAGAGGTGATGGTCGCTCTGTTTTTGACTCTTTGGTAGATTTGATGTTTTCCACTTATAAGTTGAAGAGATACCTATAAAGATCTCTCAGCAGATAGTAACATGATCGATTCTAAGTAAAAAGGCTGGATATTCTTTCTCTCTGTTGACTGGACTTGAACAGGCACCAATTCTGTAGTCATAATTTTTTTCACAAAGAAAAAGCTTTAAAAGAGGGAGCAGTTAAGAGCACTGCATGGCAGCTCACAACCCTGGTACAAATATATACAGACAGGCAAAACACTCACAGACATAAAAGAAAAATAAATAAATCTCAGCCAGGCGTGTGGTATATCCCTTCATTCCCAGTACTGCAGAGGCACACCAGATCTCTGTAGGTTCAAAGTCAGCCTGGTTTACATAGTGAGTTACAGGACGGACAGCCAGAGCTACATACAGAGACCCTGTCTCAAAGAGACCAAGAAGAAGAAGAGGAAGAGGAAGAGGAGGAGAAGGAGTTGTTCAAGGTCCAGCTGCAGAGATGGCTCAGCGGTTAAGAGCACTTGTTGCTTTTGCAGAGAATCTCTGGGTTCCATTCCCAGCACCCCCATGGTAGGTAGTTCACAACAATCCATAACTCCAGTTCCAGGGGATTCAATATCTTCTCACTTCCACAGGCTCTACTCATGCATGTGGTGCACATACATACATACAGGCAAAACACTCATACACACAAAATAAAATAAAATGGGGCTGGAGAAGGCCAGGTGGTGGTGGCCCATGTCTTTAATCTGAGCACTTGGGAGGCAGAGGCAGATGGATCTCTGTGAGTTTGAAGCCAGCCTGGTCTACAGAGAGAGTAGGATAGACTCCAAAGCTACACAGAGAAACCCTGTCTCAAAAAAAAATAAATAAATAAAATAAAAATAAAAGAGGCTGGAGAGATGGCTCAGTGGTTAAGAGCACTGGCTGCTCTTCCAGAGGACCTGGGTTCAGTTCCCAGCAACTATATGGAAGCTCGCAAATGTCTGTAACTCCAGCTCCAGGGAATCCAGCACTCTCACACAGACATAGATGCAGGCAAAACACCAATGCACTTAAAATAAAAATAAATAAATTACTAAAAAAATAAAGATAAGTAAATCTGATTTTTTTATTTTAATAAAAATATTCAGCTGGGCGGTGGTGGCGCACGCCTTAAATCCCAGCACTCGGGAGGCAGAGCCAGGCGGATCTCTGTGAGTTCGAGGCCAGCCTGGGCTACCAAGTGAGCTCCAGGAAAGGTGCAAAGCTACACAGAGAAAACCTGTCTCGAAAAACCAAAAAAAAAAAAAATTCAAGGTCATCCTCAACTATTTAGTGAGTTTGAGGTTAGCCTGGGCTGCATGAGACCCCGTCTCCAAAATAAAGAAATAAATGGAAAAAGCAAAGGCAGAGTTGACGTGGCGTTTCTTCTTTGGAGACTCTCCTACTCTCAGGAGTTCTTTCTCACTTTTTTCTTAATAAATCTATTTTTGCTCTGCTAAAAAAGGAAGAAAGAAGAAAAGGAGAGTTGAGCTGGGCCAGGTGACACCGGCCTGCAACACAACAATCAAAGAATCCCTCCTCTGCCTTCTAGAGTCCCTGCTGTTCCTCCACCTCTCTGTGCCCTTCCCTTAGCATGCTGGACCCAGAGGTTGCTTGATGCTTAGCTGTGACTCCCAGGGGAAAGCCCCTGCTCTCTGTTCTCACCCAGCCCCTCCCCCACACCATACTGACCGGGACTGACAGATGCAGGTGCTTCAGAGGCAGGAGGTGGGTGTCCAGCATCCAGAGACTAACTAATAGTCCTGTCAGGGAATCTTCGTGGGATGCAGGGGTCAGATGTCCCTCCAGAATGGGAACCAGCATGCAGGCTGCTATTCCGGGGCTCTGATCAGGCTGTTTATTTATAGCGCTGGGGGGGAGGGCTCCCAACACAGGCAGCAGAGAGGCTGCTCTGCTGCAATGTCACTGTTAACACTGCCACTGCAGACTGCCAGCACTCGCCGTTGCCGCAGAGGACAGAGGTCTCTCAGCTGGCCAGACCCCCAGGGCAGCTGGGCACTTGTGAGGCTGGGAGGTAGAGAGCCTGATGGGCAGCACCATGGAGCCCCCAGGGGGCGCATACCTGCACTTAGGCGCTGTGACCTCCCCGGTAGGTACAGCCCGAGTGCTGCAGCTGGCCTTCGGCTGTACCACCTTCAGTTTGGTTGCTCACCGTGGTGGTTTTGGGGGTGTCCAGGGCACTTTCTGCATGGCTGCTTGGGGCTTCTGTTTTGCCTTCTCAGTGCTGGTGGTGGCCTGTGAGTTCACGAGGCTCCACAGCTGCCTGCGCCTTTCCTGGGGCAACTTCACAGCAGCCTTTGCCATGCTGGCAACTCTGCTGTGTGCCACGGCCGCCGTCATCTACCCTCTGTACTTCACCCGGCTGGAGTGCCCACCTGAGCCTGCCGGATGCATGGCCAGAAACTTCCGCCTGGCAGCCAGCGTCTTCGCAGGACTCCTCTTCCTGGCCTACGCTGCTGAGGTGGCCCTGACACGGGCACGGCCAGGTCAGGTAGCCAGCTACATGGCGACGGTGTCCGGACTCCTTAAGATCGTCCAGGCCTTTGTGGCCTGCATCATCTTCGGGGCACTCGTTCATGACAGTCGCTATGGGCGCTACATGGCCACACAGTGGTGCGTGGCTGTCTACAGCCTGTGCTTCATGGCCACAGTGGCCGTGGTGGCCCTGAGTGTGATGGGACACACAGGGGGCCTGGGGTGCCCATTTGACCGCCTAGTGGTAGTGTACACCTTCCTGGCTGTGCTCCTGTACCTCAGTGCCGCAGTCATCTGGCCGGTCTTCTGCTTCGACCCCAAGTACGGAGAGCCAGCACGGCCCCCTGACTGCCGCCGAGGCAGCTGCCCCTGGGACAGCCAGTTGGTGGTAGCTATTTTCACCTACGTCAACCTGCTCCTTTACATCGTCGACCTCGCCTACTCCCAGAGGATCCGTTTCGTGCCTACCTTGTAGCCTGACCCATCCGTCTCCTCTCTCTGGCTGAGAGCACCTAAAGCTGACCAATGTGAGCGAAGACATGTGGAAACGAGGGAGGTTGGGGGCTCAGGCAAGTCTGCTCTTGGACATCGGGCAGCAATAGGAGAGGCAAAGAGGAAGGACAGGGGCAGGAGGCCCTGGGCAGGGAGGAGGGTGGCTTTTGGGCTCCCACTCTTCCTGTCTGTCTCCGTCTTTTCGTCTCTGTTTCTCAGTTTCCTGGCCAGCCTTAGGCTCAGTGCTAGTCGCTGTACCAAACGGAAACTTTTTGGAGCAGATGCTGCTGTAATTCATTTTGCAGATGGTAATAGTGAAGCCAGATGAACTTCAGAGGTGGGCCAGTATTGATATCTTGAGATAGCATTTAGCTGGGGTAATATCAGTTAGAAATCGGTCAATTTCCTGAGGTTGAAATGGGTGAAAAACAAGCCACGAACACCAGGGTCGGGCCAGTGGAAAGAATGCTGGGGCCGGAACCTCCTCCTGAAAGGAGTCTCTCTTGGGATGGTTGTGACTGTCTGTAGAGAAACCTGGTGACTAGGATGGACCTCTTCTGTGTCTGGGAGTATCCCAGTGGTCTCAAGCTCTTGAAACAGAGAAAAGACTGTGCTGTGGTTCTCAGGTGGCCTCGTGTCAAAGGTCAACACTAGAATCACCGTGAAAAGAAGAGGTCTCATGACAGTGATGGAGCTTTTGCCCAGACACCCGACACAGACTGACCCAGACGCTTCTGCAGTACCTGCCATGGGTTCTGGCAGGCTGGCTTGGTTGGCAGCATTGACTCACAGTGAAGAGCCATCTTGGGGTAGCCACTGGCCGTGGAGTCTGGTCACTGGGCCTCCACTCAAGCATATTGTTAGCCAGTTGCTCCTGAACACTAGGACTTGTTGGCATCCTCCTCCTCCACTTTCAATTCAGCTTCTCCTATGCAAGAGCCCAGACTGTACTAACCTTGGGAAGCCCTTCAGCCCATTAACTGACTGTCCCCCAGGTCTTCCAGCAGGAAATAAAAGGTGAATGTTCATTTACACCTGGCCTGCTACCTTTGATGAATACCCAGACAAGCTACCTTCTCATTGCGTGCTCTGAGAAAAGGTCTAAACCAGGTCATTGGAGGGAGGATGTGTCCTTGGGGGTACCCTGGATCCTGGGATAAGGACAAGGCTTGGCCTTGTCTGGGCCTTCTGAAAATGTAGCAGGTCAGGGTGGCTCAAAAGGCAGAATGCAGAAAAGAAAGGTAAATTTTGGCTCATTCTCTTTGCTCCTAAAGGCATCCAAAGCCCCACACTGAGGTCTTCAGGGCCCAGATCACAGGGAGAGAGGCTGCTGCCCTCTGGGCAGTGGAACTGACAACATTTAGGCTCTGGGCCATGAGCCAGGCCTTGCGTGGTACTGTGTGGTGCTTGCTGGCTAGCTGGAGAAGGAACACTTGGGTCAGTCAAAAACTGGGTTGGGACCAATGTTGTTTACTTGGATGGGTAGGCGTAGGTAGCTTCTGGGTCTGCAGGTGCCCTGAACGATGAAAGTTTTGAACATCAAAAGGCCACATCTTCAGGGAACAAAGCAAAAAAGGAATATGTCAGGCACACACATCCTGTCTAGAGAGGGACCCTGATGTTTCTTTTTCTTTTCTCTCTTATTTATTAGTATTATACATGTATGATACATGTGTGATGGGGGACAGCACAGTGCATGTGAGGAGGTCACAAGAAAACTGTGTGGACTTAGTTCTTCTACCTTATATGTGTTCAGAAGAACCAACTCAGGAGGTCAGGTTGTTAGGCTTTCAAAGCAAGCTCTTTTCCCACTGAGCCGAACAACTTAACAACTGCCTCCCCTTTGTTTTTCTTTTTTTCCCCTTTGAGACAGGGTTTCACAATGTAGTCCCAGCTGGCCTCCCTCTGGACATCCCCTTGCCTCAGCTTCCCTAGTGCTGGGATTGCAGGCTTGTGATACCTCACCACGGTTGACTGTTTTTGGGGGGGTCCCTTTCATTCTTTTACTAGCTAAAACTCTGAAACTAAGTCCATCTTAGTGCATCTGTCTCTAAGTCCTCGGTGTTCTTGTTGTTCAGTGGCCTTCTGCTCCCAGCATCATATCCAACCTAAATTTCAGAGGTCCTGGGGGAAGACTCAAGAGGAAAATGGGAGAAAGGTTTCTGGGGCTCCCTAGACTACAAGAGTGTCTTTCTTTGGTTTTAGGGATGTTGCTTAGTATCATTTGGAGGAAAGCATCCCCCCAGAAAAGGAGTTCTGGGTAGTGTTAGTTGCCATGTGGGTGCTGGGAACAGAATCCAGATCCTCTGCCAGAGCAACAAACGCTCTTAAGTGCTGAGCCATCTCTCCAACCCTGGAAAGTATCTGAAATAGAGAGTTGTTTGGGAAACCGAACTTCTAGGTTTTGTGCATAGGTTTGAGCTGTCAACTTGGCACAGGTGTTCCAGCCTTTTTCTTAGAGGGTAAGTACCAAATTGGCCGTCCAGATATTACCGTGGAGTAGTCTCCTAGTTTGGGTGGTGGTCGTTAATGAGAAGGGACGAAAATCCAAACCTTGCAGGCTAGAAGCTTCCTAATGGTTTTTGAAATTACTCTCTAAAGCAGCTTCTTTAACCACGACGGGAAAAACATAAGCAAGCAACCTCTGATGGGAGTGGGAGAGACAGGCGCTGGAATCATGCGTGCTTTGGTAGAGTGAGTCTGGGGGACCACAGACTGCTCTGTAGCTTCGAGACCAGCAGATAGGCCCTGAGCACCTCTGGGGGTTGTGGATGCCCAGAGCCCATTATCCCTAAAACCCATGGTTAGAGAACTGGGGCACTGCAGGATGGAGGAGGCTCGGGAAGTAGTGGGCCTGTGGCTGCAGAAGGTGCCTAGCTTTCAAACGAACACTTGCAATGAGACCACAGATAAGAGGGGCGGATTCGTGGCTTTGGAGGTACTGATTTGTCCACCTCTGGGAGGGAGCGGAGGGGCGTGTCTGTCCTGGCCCCGTGGATGATGCAATGAAAAGGTTCCAGTTGCAGCTGTAGATTGGCTAGTTTCCGGACGCCGCACCGTGCATTGGCTGAAGTGGAGTGGGGGCGGGGCCGGTGGGCGTGGGTGCCGCGTGGCAGAGGCAGAGGGCTGGGCCCTCGCGGGTGTCGCTGAGCCCAGGTAGCTACTCTGGGCGTTGTGGGACTGCCGGCTCCGGGGATGGGACTTCTGTAATGAAGGCTTCAGAGATAGGACTGGGACCCAAGCTGAAGGCGGACGGGGCACTTGGATGTTGAGGGTACTCTTGATTCCGAGCCCTTCCTTACAACCAGTCGCTTCCCTTGCGGCTCCCTGAGCCCTTTTCAGAGGCCAGGCATCCTGGTTCTGGGCAGCAGGTGGTTGTGTTTTGGGGTGTTGGGGAACTGGGACAACTTCTCAGCCCGGCTAGCCGAGGAGCAACATAGAAATTAGGCAGGCGGGTATGGGGGTGGGGGAGCAGCTGGCTGCCAGGAGCGGCCAGACCCGGTACTACCCACCCAATCTCTTGCTTCCCATTCTGTTGGTCCAGTTTGCAGCTGCCCTGCAGAGCCGGCGCTAGCTGTGAAGGCCGTGGGTGCTGGACCTCCGGACATGAGCGTGGGTTTCATCGGGGCGGGCCAGCTGGCTTTTGCCCTAGCCAAGGGCTTCACAGCAGCAGGTAGATTCCTCTAGGGCCGGGGAGGGTGCTAACACAGAGTGTCTGGGTTAGTGGCCTCAGTCCTTTGGGAAATGGCAGCTGCCATATGTTTGGAGTTGCTGTCCTAAAGGGGGTGAGGAGTGTTTCTCTCCTTCCTAGCAATGTGGGGCAGAGAGGCTCGAACTAGTTTTGAGGGAGGAACTCTGTCCCTTGCAGGTGTTCTGGCTGCTCACAAGATAATGGCCAGCTCCCCGGACATGGACCAAGCCACGGTCTCTGCCCTCCGGGTAGGTGCCAGGTGGAAGCAGATAGGAAGTCTAGGGTTAAGTGTGCATCACACCCGACTGAGGGCCAGGGTGGAGAGCAGCTGTACTGTAGCCCTACTCCAGTGGGCAAGCAAACCTGCCATGAGGATCCCGCCTCCCTGGCCTGTCATGAATACAGCTGGTAGCAGAGGGTGTTAGTCTGGAATGGGATTACCTAGATGGGAGTTAAAGGAGCCCTCTGGACGGCTAGGCAGCATTGAGCCCAGACAGTGGGCCAGGGGTGGTGGTAACTACAACTCCTGTTTGCTATGGCTCAGTCGGGATTTCGGGCAAAGATGCGGGGGTCAGGCTCCCAGCTTGAGACCACCATCCGCCTCCAGAAGGCAGGCAGCTGCAGAGACTGCAGCCATGACACCCTCAGGTGGGATGAGCTGGGCTGTGGTTTAGAAGGCTGTGATGTCCCTTTTCTGTTCCCAAGGGGCACATTCCAGGGCATAGTGCTCTTTCCATTTCTAGGTAAGGACAGGTGAGTGGGTTTTGACTCCCAACCCAGCCTGCACCACAGCCCAGCAGCCTTTGGGCTTCTCTGCACACGAGGCTCTCAGCTTTGTGGGCAGACGGTCCATGAGGCAAGCTGAGTGCCCTTGCACTCCTGCAGAGGATAGGGGTGAACCTGACATCTCATAACAAAGAGACGGTGCGCCACAGTGATGTGCTCTTCCTGGCTGTGAAGCCACACATCATCCCCTTCATCCTGGATGAAATTGGTGCCAACATTGAAGACAGACACATTGTGGTGTCCTGTGCAGCGGGTGTCACCATCAACTCCATTGAAAAGGTGGGTGACATGGGCCAGATCCATAGGGCTTCGGAGAGATGGGGGAGTGAAGATGTGGTCGGGGGCTCTGCTCTGGGTGTCAGGCTTCTTTACCTGGGTATAACAGCCCAGCCCACAGCAAGAACCCAGGAAGTGCTCAGTTGGGGAAGCAAGCAGGTCCACACTCTCTTCCATGCCTGGGGTGAGGACAAATGGCCAAGGCCAGAGTGACAGAGCTGGTTTCTTTTCCAGAAGCTGACAACATTCCAGCCAGCTCCCAAAGTCATCCGCTGTATGACCAACACCCCGGTCGTAGTGCGGGAGGGCGTGACTGTGTACGCCACAGGCACTCACGCTCAGGTGGAGGATGGCAGACTCGTGGAGCAGCTCATGTGCAGTGTGGGCTTCTGCACAGAGGTCGAGGAAGATCTGATTGACGCTGTCACGGGGCTCAGTGGCAGCGGCCCTGCCTATGTGAGACCTGGAGCAGCGGGTGGTGGTCAGGTTAATGGGCAGTTCCCGGGGCCTCTGTGCACCTGCTTCTGCTGCCCTCTACTCTGGGTCCCAGAGAAGAGGGTAGGACAGTGGCTGAGAATGCATTCTCCCCACAGGCTTTCACAGCCCTGGATGCTCTTGCTGATGGTGGTGTGAAAATGGGGCTTCCAAGACGCCTGGCTGTCCGCCTGGGGGCCCAGGCCCTCCTGGTCAGTGTTTTGAGATACTTGTGGGAGCTGTTCCTTGCTAAAACCAAAATTGGTGTCCTGGGGACATGTGAGTGGGGAGTCAGCAGGTACTTTGGTGGCTGGGGACTCTGTAGAGCAGGTAATTAGGTGCCCTACTGCCATCAGTTCCTCTTTCTTGTCACAGGGGGCAGCTAAGATGCTACTAGACTCAGAACAGCATCCAGGCCAGCTCAAGGACAATGTCTGCTCTCCTGGTGGGGCCACCATCCATGCCTTGCATGTGCTGGAGAGTGGGGGCTTTCGCTCACTGCTTATCAATGCTGTGGAGGCCTCCTGCATCCGCACTCGGTAGGTCCTGCTGTCCCCACTCCCCAGCCACCTACTTCCTACAGAATCCCGGCTTCAGAGGCTTCAGTGCAGTTATTCACTTAGCAGATGCCATTGAGCCCTGTCCTGGCCCTGAGCATGATTGTAGAAGTTTCAAGGTTCCTTGGGTCACAATATGCAATGCCTCTAGCTCCCTTCCACTGTTCTGTAGACCTTCTCTGGTCCTGCAATACAGCCTCCACTCAGTTTCACCATCACAGCCATGGAGCCAGGCTAGAATGGTGGCTGGCAGTTTTGGGTGCTGGTCCAGCACCTTCTTGGTGACCTTTCCCAAGTTAAGTGAGTTAGCTAGGCTAGTCAGCATGTTGTCAGCAAGATAGCCTGATGAGAGTTGAATGAAACATGCCTAGGTTCCCTCAGTTGTTGTAAGGCAAAGCCGAGGCTGGGAATCACTGTCCCGGCCTCATGTCCACAGAGTAAGCCAACAGTATCTTTCTTGCCAGTGCCCACCCTCTAGCACAAATGCCTAGAGAAGTCCAAGGGCCACGGCAAGGCTTGGACATGGGACCTAGCCACCTAGCATGGCCCATAAAGGAAACAGGAGAAGCAAGATCCTGCCACAAGCTGGGCAGTGAAGAGTTCAGGGTTAGGAGTGCTGAGCCATCTTGATGTGGTTGATATTGTAGCCAGGGTGACCCTGAGTCACTCTAAATGGTGTGAGAAGTGGCTGTGCTGCTGTATTAGACAGGGGGGCTGGGTGGTGGTGGCGCACACCTGTGATCCCAGCACTCGGGAGGCAGAGCCAGGTGGCCAGCCTGGTCTACAGAGTGAGATCCAGAACAGGCACCAAAACTACACAGAGAACCCTGTATCGGGGGGGAAAAAAAAGGCAGGAGGACTACAGGTGTAAAGGCCCAGAGATGGGGTGCTGGTATAGCACTGCCCACCATAGCTGCTGTTGGAACTGTGGGTTCTGGGAGAAGGAGAAACTCAGACCTAGTGTCTCATTGCTTTTCCAGGGAGCTGCAGACCATGGCTGATCAGGAAACTGTCTCTCCTGCTGCCATCAAAAAGACTGTCCTGGACAAGGTGAAACTGGACTCCTCTGCTGGGGCCTCCCTGTCTTCTGGCCATATCAAGCCACTGCCCTGCAGCCTGGCCCCAGCAGGCAAGGAATGATTCATCTGCCCATCTTCCTCATGCTCTCTGCTCACCCCCCCCCATCTATCTATCTATCATCTATCTATCTATCTATCTATCTATCTATCTATCTATCTATCTATCTATCTATCTATCTATCTATCTCTTTTGAGACAGGGTTTCTCTGTGTAGTCCTGGCTTAGAACTCGCTCTGTAGAACAGGCTGGCCTTGAACTCAGTTTTTTTTGTTGTTGTTGTTTTTCTTTGTTGTTGTTGTTTAAGCAGGGTTTTGCTATGTAGTCCAAGTTACCTTTGAACTCTTAACCCTCCACTCTAGTTTCCCAAATTCTGGGATTATAGGTGAGTGTCAACATGCCAGGCTCCTTTTTTCTTTTAAGATGGTGGCTTGATATGTTGCCTAGACAAGACTCAAACTTCCTCGGCTCAGGGTATGCTATCATGTCAGCCCCCTCAAGTGCACACCACCTGGCTGACTCAATTCTTCACTTTCTTCTCTCCTTGTCTGAAGTTTCTGCTCTGGGCTCTCTAGCTCAAAACCACACAGAATATCCCCATAGCAGGCCCTTGCCCATAGCCGGGTCAGCCAGGAAAGGGAAGATCACTTACAACCAGGGACCTCTACCGCTCCCTCTGGAGCTTAGGCCTATGGTGTCTTCATCCTCCCTAGCTCCAAGGCCAGCCAGCTTTGGGGGGACCCCTTTCTGTGATCTACTCACACGTGGTTGCCTGTCCTTTCTCTGTGAAGACCACCTAGTCCCAGACATCCTGTACCTCCTTCTAGAGACTTCATCTTCTACCAAGGATCTCACTAGGCATTTGGAAAAGGGACTTCTCAGGTAGCTCATGAAACCTTAGCTTGTTCCTGAACTAACTCACCAAATACTGTTACTTCTCTTCCTATCCTTTCAGTTGAATAAAAAAAAATTCCCAGATGTTCCCATTTACCTATTTGTCACCTGTGGAGAGAAGCTTGCTTGGACAGGGGAGCATAATACTGAGGGAGGAGCCAGTAACACAGGTCCCATCAAGCTGGCTATGGCCAGGCTGAAGGTCCCCCATAGAGCAGAGGGCTACACAGCTTCATTGCCTCTATCATAACAAACTGGCCTGAAGGCTGGCACCCTAACAGGGCTTGGCACAGTGTTGGTGAGGGGCACCAACCTCTTCTGCCCCATCCCTGTAGCTTGCTAGGGGGAGATGTCTTGCTGGTGGATCCAGGCTGTGCAAGGCCAAGTTCCTGGTGAGGAGAAAAACCTTTGAGGGAAGTATCAGAATTTTCCAGATGGGATAGAATCAAAGTGACAGACATATGCATAGAAACAGTAAGGAGCCGCTGCCTTCTGAGTACTGGGATTAGAAGCTTTCAGTGAAACACTTGGGAGGCAGAGGCAGGCAGATCTCTGTGAGTTCAAGGGTAGCCTGGTCTACAAAGCAAGTTCCAGGACAGTCAGGGCTGCTACATAGGGAAACCTATCTCGGAGGGCGGGGGGAGGGCAGGGAACAGAAAAAAATGCCCGGTGGTGGTGGCAGCGGCAGCGGCGCACACCTTTAATCTAATCTCATCACTCAGAAGGCACAGATAGGTAGATCTCTGAGTTTGAGGCAGCCAAATCTACAGAGCAAGTTCCAGGACAGCCAGGGCTACACAGAAAAACCCTGTCTCCAAAATAAAACAAAAACCTGTTGCTGCTACAATTCCAAAAGCTGATATATGAGGGCTGACACTGTGTGTGTGTGTGTGTGTGTTCCCTTGACTATGCTACAGGGAAGGTAGACATTCTAAGTATTTTCTTTTTCTTTTTTCTTTTCGAGACAGTTTCTTTGTGTAGCTTTGGAGTCTGTCCTGAAACTCCCTCTGTAGACCACGCTGGCCTCGTACTCACAGAGATCTGCCTGCCTCTGCCTCCCGAGTGCTGGGATTAAAGGTGTGCGCCACCACTGCCCAGCCTAAGTATTTTCATACCAGATTAATGTTTGAATTACTGAACGAACAAGCGAACAAAAACACATCTAAATTAGTAGACTTTTGGCTGGGTGGTGGTGGCACACACCTTTAAATTCAGCACTTGGGAGGCAGAGGCAGGCAGATCTCTGTGAGTTCGAGGCCAGCCTGGTCTATAGATTGAGTTCCAGGACAGCCAGGGCTGCACAGAGAAACCCTGTCTTGAAAAACCAAAAATAAATAAATAAATAATAAATTAGTAGACTTTGATGTTAAGAACAGCATTTTAGGGATAGAGAGATGACTCAGCAGATAAGAGGAAGTCTGGGTCACCTCCTGGAGTGTCCTCCTCTACAAGTCCCAGAGGACAGGGTAGAGGGCAGTGGCATTCATCCTTCAGAGGATCTGAGTTCAGTTCCCAGCACCTACATGAAGCTCACAACTATTTTTAACTCCAGTTCCACAGTACTCAATGTCCATTACTGGCCTCCAAGGGCACCAGGTACACATGAGGTGCACATACATATATGTGGGCAAACATTCATGCTCATAAAAAATTGAAAAAATATATATACATATATATGTATATATATGTATGTATACATACATATATACATATACATACACACACACACACACACATATATATATATATATATATATATATATATATATATATATATATTGGTTTTTCGAGACAGGGTTTCTCTGTATCCCTGGCTGTCCTGGAACTCACTCTGTAGACCAGGCTGGCCTCGAACTCACAGAGATCTGCCTGCCTCTGCCTCCCGAGTGCTGAGGTTAAAGGTGTGTGCCACCACCCAGCACAACAGACCTTTTTATGGTCTGATGTTTCTTTAGTTAGAAGTCACTGAGCATGGAGAAGGGAAGATGAGGTCCCCACCTCAAAAGGTTATGTAGACAAGCCTTCAGGGAGCCCGAGAGTTGATGGTGCAGAAGAAAGAGCACAGGTGAGGCAGAAGCTTCCTGTGCAGCAGAGAGAGAGCAGGTCAGAGGGAAGAGGTCTTCGGAGGCTTCACATCAGGATCTCTCTCCTAGTCTCCCATGAACAGTTCAGAACCAAGGCTGGTTGAGAGGGTTGAGAGGGTTGGAAGACATACTCCAGCTGTGGTAAGAAACAGCGCCAGAGGCATGGGGGACCAGAAGGTTCGAGCCACTGCCTGAGCGCTGGTTGTACTGATGCTGTGTGGCAGACGGGTGGCCTGGAAAGTACCACTCTGCAAAAGAGAGCCCTGTCTGCAAGACTCATGCAAGGAGCCTACTAAACCTCTACGCTCTCTAAGACCCCAGCTCCTCTATTCTCCACCACTATTCCCAGGGACAAGTGTCCCAAGCCTGTGTGGGGAGGTGAGACTTCTGTGGTGAGGCAGCTCTGCCCCTCACCAACGGCAGGCCCCAGTTAGATCCACATATGCTCCTGAGGTCTTGTTTCAATATGGATTCTACTTTCCCTCAGCACCCCTCCATGAATAAAGGCACATTAATCACTGTTCTATAGATGTCAGGACCCTGTCGGTTCTGAGGAAGATTCTGGAGATTGGGTCACCTCCTGGGGTGTTCCCCTCTCCATGGCACCCTTGGGATGAGTGCCATGACATGTAGCACCAGCCTCAGGGTTAACCCCGGAGCCCAGGGTTCTCCACCCCAATGAAGCAGCTCCACACCACCACACCACGGACTCCAGAAGAGTCCATCGCTGTTCTTTCCTGTAGACACCTGTGGCCCTGGGTGTGCATGTTCAAACTCTGTCCCAAGACCAGGTTTCCTATGAATGCCGAGAAAGGACTGGGGAGCAAGACACCCTGAAAGTGGAAGACCTTAGTCCAGATGACTCAGAAAGATGACTAATGTGTGAATGAAAGCCAGACTGAATGCTGTGAGGACCACAATGTAAGGGGCTTGGTAACATGCACGGGGATCAGCCCAGCAAATGCTACCCTTTAGTAGACACCCAGGACTCCATAGCATGTACTTCCTAAGGATACTTGAGCAGGTGGCACCAGGACGGGGAACAGCAATGAAAGAACAAGTCCTGATGTGAACCCGAATGTTCTGCCAGATTGCCCTTGTGCTGGTGGTATCGTCATAGTCCAATACTACATTCACACTCCCAGTCCCTCTGAGCAGGGTGGGCGAGTGGCTCAGGGGCTCCCTTGAACCAGCAGCACTCAGCGATGAGGATGAAGATACAGCACACAAGGATGCACCAGGCCTCTCCTCTGACATAGTATTTGCTCGTGTGTGTGTGTGTGTGTGTGTGTGTGTGTGTGTGTGTGTGTGTGTGTATGTGTGTTGAGAGTTGGGTTGAGGGTGTGGTCCAGTGATAGAGCATTTCTCTAGCATGTCTAATACCCTGGGTTTGACCCCTAACATTACTGATCGTGGTGCATGCCTGGAGTCCCAGTTCCTTCTTGTTTTTTCAAGACAGGGTTTCTCTGTGTAGCTCTGGCTGTCCTGGAACTTGCTCTGTAGACCAGGCTGGCCTCAAACTCAGAGATCTACCTGCCTCTGCCTCCCAAGTGCTGAGATTAAAGGCGTGTGCCACCGCCACCCAGCAAGTCCCAGTTACTCTTGAGTCTAGGAGTTTGAAGCTACTCTGAGCAACAGTGTAGGATTCACCCTCATAAATAAAGACAGTAACAAGGAGGTCAGGGAAGCTCGTGCCTATAATCCCAGCACTGGGAGGCTGAAGCAAGCGGGTTGCCATTGAGCTTAAGCCAGACTAGGCTACAGAGTGAGACCCTATCTTACAGCTACAACAAAACACAAAGGGAAGAAGGATGAAGATAAATAACAGAAACCTTCAGGGCATAAGGAGTAATGCAACGTCCACATTAGCCCTGTATTCTGAGACTCTAGCTACACCCAGTGAGAAATACAGACCCCCTACACACTCCCCAAAGAAATACAACGTTAAGAACTACTTTTATCCCTACAGGACAGATGGTGACAATAAACTGAGGTGTGGGATTCCAAAAAAAGTCCCTGGAAGCTGGTAGAACGGAGGATCCTGGGTTAGCTTCGGTCAGACCTTCATCCTTTCCTCGGCGGCAGTGAATCACAAAGAATACACACAAACCCATCCCCAGCCCGCTCGCCCCTTTTCCCCTGTCACCAGCATTTCAGGATGAGTCATCTTTTCTGGCTTTACAGCTGAGAAGGGAAGGCCAAGGAGAAAGTTCTGAAACTGGAAATGAAAACTTGATCTCTTCCATTTTCCTTCTTTTCACTTCATTCTCAGAATTTTCAACAGCAGTGGGAAGTTTCCTCACAGAAAGAGTAGCAGCAGAATGCACTGGAAGTAGTTTTAGATGTGTCAGAAAAGGTGTGTGTGTGTGCACAACTCTTTTTTGACAGGGTTTCTCTGTGTAGCTTTGCTCCTTTCCTGGAACTCACTCTGTAGACCAGGCTGGCCTCGAACTCACAGCGATCCGCCTGCCTCTGCCTCCCGAGTGCCGGGATTAAAGGCGTGCGCCACCACTGCCCCGCCGTGTGCACAACTCTTAATTGCAGTGCATGCATACTACTCAAAGAGATGCTCCACAGCTGCAGGTGAAGTCCCTAGTGAGCATCCTCTGAGCCCTGGTGCCATCTTGGGCATTTTGGGAACGTGGGCCGGGGTCTGTCTGGGCTGTGCCCTTCAACAGCCCCGTCCTTTTCAGCTCTCTGACCCATTAGAAATGAGAGGACATCGCGGCAGAATGGGGTAAGAAATTACACCACTATGTCACATCATCAAAACAGCAACCAGGGCCCCGCGTGGTGGCGCTCATCTACGATTCCAGCTCCCGGGAGGCAGAGGCAGGAGTATCGCCCGGAATTCAAAGCCAGTCTGCGTGAGCTGTGTAGTGAACCCTTGTATCCAAGTGAAAAAACAAAAGCAAAACAAACAAAACCGAAAATACCCAGGCAGGTTCTGTCCCGTAGACCTCGGCCTGAGTTAGCATGGAGGTCTGGAGGGAGCTTCATCCATCAGGGTCCAGGTCCGCGAAAAAAGCAAATACACTCAGAACCTGACCCGGCAGGGGCACGGTCGACCGGGTGAGCGCCGGGACTAGTCCCGCGAGACATCGCCTGGGCGCGGCGGGTTGCCAAGGACGACGGCGCGGGGCTGCGCAGGCGTGCTGGGGGCGCGCTCTCCTAGCAGTCGCCGCGCCTTTCCCTTTAAGCTTAGGCCAGCCGCGTCGCCGCTTCATGAATGGAACCCACGTGACCAAACATCATGTGACGTCTGAGGAGCGGCGGCGGCGGCGGCGGCGGATTCTGAGCCCGGTCCGGCCCGGCCTTCCTAGCGCGCTTGGCTCGGCCCGCGCAAGCGGCCAGTCCCCCCAAGCCCCCGGCCCGG